CAATTAAGGTAGGGCTTTCTATGCTGCAACTAGTGGTCCACCCAACTGGGTCTGCTTGGTTTTGTAGGATGGCAGAGTGTTTATCTGGACATGCGATGATGCCTCTGGAAACTCATGGTCACCAAAGCTGCTGCACAAGTTCAACGATGTTGTCTGGCATGTGAGTTGGTCCATTACTGCAAATATTCTTGCAGTGTCTGGAGGAGACAATAAAGTGAGTACTGCTGCTTTGCCTTTTACTCCTGCATGCCATATTTTCAGAAGAGCTCATATGAGATGGGCTATAGTCACTTCTGTTTAAGTTAGGACTGTTGTAGATTCTCCTTTGCTGCAATGGTGAATTTTTTTCTTTTGACTTATCAAGAGGGGAGGAAGACCCTAACCTTTGGCAAACTACTTGCACTGCATTCTTAGTCCTTAATGGAGATCAGAAATGCAGACTTAATTTTATGTTGTAGGGTACTAACAGCAGAATTCACATACTCTCCCTTTACCACTGGATAATTATTCAGCATGCTGCAACAACTAACTTGATACTTAGAACAACACTGCAACACTTGACTTCTGTAACTGTAGACTGTCACCAAACTAGTGATGTGATGGTTGCAAGGAAGGGGGAAACTGAGAACGTATTAAGGCTGAAACTTCTTTCTGCTCTGTTTTTGAGGTCACACTATGGAAGGAATCAGTAGACGGACTGTGGGCATGTATCAGCGATGTCAACAAGGGCCAAGGAGGGGTGTCTGCCATTACAGAGGGGCAGCAGAATGAGCAGTGATGCATGAGTGAATGTTCAGCTGCAACAAGTGATCACTGTACCTGATTTGCAATGTTGAACCGGATGAGAACTGATTTTTATCTGAACTGGACATGAACGTGGGAAACAATTATCCAATTTTATGAGCACTCTGTAACTATTACTGGGAGGCTACAATATGTTGATAATCAGCCTTAATCAACATTCCCTTAAATTTAAGGTAAAGAACATAGCAAAGTACTGTGCCTTACACTACTCCTTGATGCCATAGAAATTGTACCCTGCTTTTCTGGTTTAGGGATCAAATTTTATTGGGTGTGCTGTGGATTCGAAGCACTTGAGTGGGAACAGGAGGAGGCTATCGGAGTGGTGAGCTGTGAACTCCTTTGTGCAAGGGGACAAATACTCTCCCTTCAAAGGCCAGAATTTTGTTTCGAGTGAGGGGAAAGGCTGGTGGAGTTCGCAGCATTAGATGAGAGCTAGCCCTTCTGGTAGTAGTGAAGTGGTGCTTAGATCTTCCTGAAAATAACATGCTTGGATACATCTCTTTACTTTCCTGAAGATGAAAAGGAGTAGTGGAATGCATATGTCTTTTGCTTTACAATAATCTCAAACTTGGTTATGTAACCAAAATAAAAAAATCAAACCATAATTTGAAGTTGGTTTGGTTGGGTTTTTTTTGCCACACTTCTGTACTGTACCTCAGGTGTTTTGGTTCTTTTGAGACACCAACAGAATAAAGTCCTATTGCTTAAGGCCTGGTGTGCTGTATTTAATAATCTCTTCACAGGGCCCTTGTAAGGCTGTCTACAGTCTACCTTCAGTCAAGCCACAGTCACGTTGTCCTCCCAGCCATGGTATTAGCTTTGTAATAGCTGGGAGGGTATTAGTCCACAAGAGCCTAACAGTCTATATACTCTAAGAACAAAGTTTTACCTTCAGTTAAACTTCTGTGCTATTGCATTTCAGGCAAGTATATTAAGCTCGAACAAACCACATTTCGGTACGCCTTCAGCTAAAACCTGAATCACTCTTCCCCTCCTACAAGAGAGAAAGTATGTAACTAAAAGGTCATGTTTTCCCTTTATTCTTCAGCTGCCCTGAAGCAACACAAGTCAACAATTCACAGCCTTCCTCCTCCATTGTAGTGGTTCCCAGGCATAGGAACCTTGTTTTGGTATAGTCAAGATAATATACCCCCTTTTCTAGAAAAACAAACCTCACTTTATGATTGTTATCAGTACTAGCCAAATATCATCCTAGTTGCTTTCACAGAAACATACACATGAATTATCTTTCTGAATAGCAACAGAAGCATGCAATGTTCCCATTCTTTAAAGGCACTGTAGCCTTACCCAAAAAAAATGAATTGACTTATCTTGAAATTAGCATTAGATTCAAACAGTTCCGTTTCAAATTATACAGCAAAGCACTATTTTCTTTCAAGCTGTTTTCCATTTCTACTAAGATCAGAATCATAACCGCTAAGCTGAACAGGCTGCCTTTCATTGCCAGTGCCATACCCACTTGTTCTTTGATACAGAGTACCCGGTCACCCAGGAGGCTTTTGGGTTGGCTTTAACTGCTGTGGAACTTACTTGAAATCAATAAGAAGGCTTAAAAATGAAGCCTCATTCTTAGTTAGCTTTTACCATGCTTCATTCTAAGGGAAAAGGGCACTAACTTCTTAAGTACATAAGAAAAGTTTTTGCCTATGGGGATATTAGGTTCCACAATTCACCCTATTAAAAGTTATCCTGATATTTTTATGAGTTTTAATACTTAAGAATTCAAGCCTACTTAGTGCTAAGGCCCAGTTCAGCCTGTTATTCCTTCATGCTTGAGATGAAATGAATTAAAATGGTTTCAAGTAATGATCAAAGTATCTCCAATGATTACAATTCATAAAAGACTATTTAAGAGTTACACAGTTTATCCATTGCAAATATAAGTGTAAGGTGAAAGCTTTTCAGTTGCACTTGACAATAGGCTTCATGTTTCTGATCTCTAATCCCCTCCTGCTCTTGGGCTTGGGACTGGGGAAAGGAAAGAGAAAAATACTATACCCAACATAAGCTTCACGCTGAAGAACTTAAAATTGCTACTCAGTCTGATTAACGCCAACACGGTCTCTCCTGTGCCCACAGTGCACCATAGTTCCTCCCATTTACTATCTAGCCTGAGAAGAAAAGTTTGTGTCTTGTGATGACTGAAAGGAGTTTCCTCATAAGAAATGAAGTTCTGTTGTTCAATCCGCATTGTTTAATTTATGAAGTGTCTGGTATGTCTTCTACTGATACACCAGTAACTAGATTGTCCTTAATGGCAAACAGGGTCGCTTGAAACTTAGGAAACAAAAAAACCCCACTGGTTTGTACAACAGCCTATCTAAATTCCTATTTTCCTTGCTACTTGGAGCGCTGACAGGCCTTAATAAAGCAGAAGATGCTGATCCAAAGCCCAAGGATGCTGATCCTGGAAGCTACAGGGGACACATCCCCTCTCATGTTGGGAATCCAGGAGCTCAATTCTGTGGGCAGCCCAGAACAAAACACAGTGTGCTATGAAAATGCAAGGGGCTTCCGCTTCCATACTGTTTCTGATAGGATTCAGAAGTGCTGCCTGCTTTCTTTGTGCTATCAAATGTTTTTATTAACAAGTCCTCAGATAAAAGCCAGAGTTTCTTAACCTAGCGTTGTGGCTAGAGAGGTTTTTGACTCATCACCTCCATTTTTCATGTCCCGTATCACAGTTACTAGCTTCCTTAGTTTTGCCAATTCACATTTCAGAAGTGATTTTCTTTTAATATTTGGGTCATTTCACAAACCTGATTTACAGCATGACTGCACAATATTTGAAATAATCAAGCAGAAAGCCACAAAATGAGACACGAAACAAGAAAAGCTCTGAAATCATATTTGCAGAAGAAAACAAAATGGAACTGCAAAATGGAACTCCCAAATAAAACTAGTTTTCCACCTCTGCAGATGTGCTAAAGCCTTATTTGGCCAGAGCACAGTTAAGATGGTTATAAATGGCTCCATGTTACATTTTCTCCAACAGCAAATCTGATTTAACTAAATTCCTCCTCAACTTCCCATCTCTGCATGTTTACCATGCCTTCTTCAGTCCTACTGCTGGAAGTTTGTGGGGCTGCAGTGTGAAATGGATCCTACAAATTAGACAAGTCATTCAGGTTAAAGCAGAATACAAGCAACAGAAGTTGCAAACTTGTCATCCTTCATCATATATTCCTTCTTTTCTCCTACTCTTTCTCAAGTAAAAAAAAAAATAATCCGAATTTGTCTTCATGGGATTTTTCTAGACACTCAGCCATTGTTACTAATCTTCACTAAAGTTTAAAAAATGTGTTAATATTCTGGTTTTAGAGTAATGGAAGCCAAGTTTCCTAGGTATCTTTTTCAGTTGCAGTCTTCCAGCAAAAGACAACAAAATCTGATAAAACAGAACCTGGGAGAGAATACAGAAGAGATGGAATGCACTTAAAGGCAAATATGAGAAACACAGCTGTCACCACAGGTCAGGAATAAAGCTCAACTTCTCCATTTCTGTTACACCGCCTCAGATAATAAAAAGGGTTTGAGTCTTTTCCTTTTTGGCAAAAAAAAAAAAAAAAAAGTTACAGCTATTAATTATTTTTTAAAAGGAACAAAGTTAATGCCACAGGAAAAAAGGAAACTCTCACTTCACTCCCTACACAATTTCATTACACATAAAAATAAACACAGCAACAAATCTATGCACTGTTTTCTTTTTTTTGTTGTTGATTTTGTTATCTTAGAAGCAGGCCAAGTTTCCAAGGCATTTAAATACGTATCAGATTGCATTTCCAGGGATATTGTAGAACAGAACAAATATTCCACACACTATATAAAGTGCTTCAGAAAGCAGCTGTTTGGTGAAGCCACTAAACCAACCAGGTAAAGTTTCATTCAATCATTTTCAGCTTTTGCGGGTTTTCCTGTGTAATTCCTCTCCACTAACCTATTTATTCCTGTTACTATAGCTCAGTTATAGAAGAAAGCACTGCAAGCAATAATCTCCTTCGGACAGGATATTTTTATCTTTAGCATATAAAAATTATGTTTGCTTTATACAGCCATCTTTAGAAATAGTTTCAAGTCATTCAAGTCGGGAGAAATATTTTCACTGGATCTGGATTCAATTAAATACAAAGATTGTAAAATATGTTTAATTTTTCAACCTATGCTTTCAGGTTTGACACCCTGCATCACGAAGATAATCATGTTTCTCAGAGGTACTCTGCTGGGAATTATTCTTTACAGCATCCTCTGGACAGAAACTACTCTGGCTGGCTCTAGTTTTTTAAGTCCTGAATATAAAAGAACACAGGTAAAAAAAAAATCAGAAAAAGATTGTCCTCATTTATAAGTCCTTAAAACCAGTATTATTTACAGTGTTCAGAGAAGGTTTTAGAAGATTTATTTTCCAGAAGAGGAAGGAGTTAGTCCAGAGAACTTCTGTAACACACCATTAGCATTGTATTTGTGCTATGAGAATATGTATCTAATCTCATTCACTAAGAATTAATAATCTGAAAAAAGAGAACAAATGAAGAGAAAGCATTCATTTAAATAATTTGTTGGCATCTTCTTTGGAAATTAACTGTAAGGTGCTTGTTATTTAAGGAACCCTTAAACCAAATTCCTATTAAAGTGCATGCAGCAATTATTATAGACCTACCTATCATTAACAGTTGGACTTGATGATCTTATAGGTCTTTTCCTAAATAATTCTATGATTCTATCATACAGACATAAGTGTATGACGCCTTCAGCTAATCTGCTGCATCTGTGTTAACTAAGGTTCTGATTTCCCCACTACAGACTAGTTTGATTACGGAAAGAATGTATAGATGTTATTTTGTTTGCTTTCTAGCAACAAAAGGCTTCAAAAAACCCCACAGCACAATTACATCGTCGAGGCACAGAAGGCTCTTGGGATACAGATAAAGCAGCGGCAGAAGATGACAGTAACAGTATTGAAATTAAGGCTTGTATTTTTTCTTCTTGCTCACATACAAGTTTAAGGGGTGGGGTTGGGTAATACAATTTCTGTGACAGGAGGCAGTACAATTTAAAACTACAATCATTTTTAACTTGAAAGGCAAGTAAGAAAGGGCACATGAAAACTGCCAGCATTGATGGTATGAAATGATTTAAAATTAGCTGCAGTAATTCAGATAAAAATCTCCTATTTAGGATTCACTTATATTTCAGAACTAATATATAATAATATGAGTTTCCTGTCAAGTTTTCTTTCCTCCAGTTTATTGTGCAGTTTGGTCTGCAGTAGCTTATACCCTGTCTCTGAGATTTTGATTATGTGCCTCAGCACTAATAAGTGAATAGATGAAATAACGTTTTATGCTTCTTGCTTATCATCATTCTCATGAATAAAATTAACTTGCAATGTCCTTGTCCAGTACTTGTTTGTTAAACTCTGTCTTTTAATGTTTTTATAGTTTAACGTTCCCTTTGAAATCGGTGTCAAGATAACAAAAGAAGAGTATCAAGAATATGGACAAGCGCTGGAGAAGATGCTAGGGGACATGCTTGAAGAGAACGCTAAAGGTACTGCCAACCAAGTCATAAATCAGAGCTTTTTTAAAAAACAAACAAACAAATGAAAACAACAAAAAACCCAAACCACCAAATAAAAACACCAACACCACAAACCAAACAACTTTTATCATGTGAGACATTCAGGGCAGCATTTCAGAAGTGATTGGGACTAAGTTACTGCTAAAAGAACCACTGAAGTATCTGATGTTCAGAAACTGCTAGTTGAACTTTGAAGAATCACATTAAAGTACATTAGGCAGGAAGGGAAGGCTTCCTCTCCTTACACTACCGGTCTTCTTTTCCCCTTGTCCTCAAATCCCAGCATTTCCCTGTTTTCTCAGCCAAGACCTTCATAATTTCACAGTGAAAAGTATTAAAAACATCATTGTAACTAAGAGGGTTCTAGCTGATTCACTGATAACTAAAGTTCTAATGACCAACTCCCACCATAGACTGTCTGGTTTTTACCTTTACAGCCTGTCATACTTTACTTGCACTCGCCCATGTTAAGCTGATCTTTCTGAATCTTCTGTTTTAATGTTTATGTCAGTCTTAATATCTGCATTACACATTCCAACTACAAATCACTTCGTGCTTCCACTAGCACCCTGCTTTTCAGGCTTTGAAGACTTCCCCCAAGGTCCTCTCTCTGCTTTCCTCCGAATTCCTTCTGAAGGCTACTTCTGTGGCCATTACACAAATAAGACGGTCTTATGCATATGTGCCCTTATAGAACGTAACTATGTGAAGGCCACCCTATCTTCTGCCTTCGGCTGAGCACTTGTAGAACTTTGAGACAGATTATCAAAACAGGATTTTCAGAAAAATATTAAGACTGTCAAAATAATCTATCAAAATAGTCTTTATCTCTTGTCTTTTTAGAAACTCAGATCAAAAACTGAGGCAAGATGAAGGACACATACAGCACTTGATGGCCTGATTTGTTTTAAATTTTACTTCAAAATGAAATTATTACTGATTTCTCAACTGTAAAGAAGAAAGAAGTATGTGAACCTGAGCAGTTTGCCCTGGCAGACGGTGGAACAGATTATCTTTTAAGGAAGAATACAAGATCTCGAGCTGAAAATAATAAAGGGCAAGGTTAATCACAGGCTGACATGTAGGCTTATTTTCTTATTTTATCTGTTTTTCTTAGTAAATATAGTGATTATTCTAAATGATGTGTTTGAAGGCTATATGAACCTTTCTAAAACTGGCAGAAACTTCTTCTTACACTTCTATACACACCTACAATAGAGAATAAAGCTTATGCTCCAACTGCAGTTACTTGTGGGGTTGTTTTTTGTTTGTTTGTTTAAGAGTAGCACAAACTAGATAGTTCATGTAATAAACTGTGCAAACAAGATGGACAAGGAATCAGCTTTTAGTTGACAAATTAGCTTAATTGCCAAGGGATTTGTTAATATGGATGTTATCAAGGAAACCATCTAACATCTCTTCAAGTAGAGGGGGAAGAGGGGGGTGGGGGGAAGAGGGAAAAAAAAGGAAAGAAAGCAGTTTTCCAGTTAGCATGCCTGGATTCAGAACCATATCTATATTGGTGCATACATCAGAGGTACAAGGTAATTTTTCATGCCTTCAAATGCATAAACCAGTATGCTCCAACGCAGACATATTCTTTGCTGTACCTCAGCCCATATGGACATCTGATAATCCATGAACATTTTCTAGAATTCAAAACGATTCTAGAAGACATTCTGTAAAATACTCTTTAACACTCTAATGCAACACATGTACATACAACAGCAATTATTATTAGATGTGTTCTCTTTTCCTGTCACAGAATTAGCCACCTCAATTAAGTGATCCCTTTGATGCCCCGAGCACAGTCTTGTGCTACACCTCACCAGAAGGCAAACGAGAATTAGAAGAGAAGGGAGAGGTGGATTAAAAAGGAATAAACAATTCTTAGAAGACTAAGAAACAAGTATACATAGAACTTTTAGCACCAGTTCAGAAAGCCACGGTGTTTCAATGCCACAATCAGAAGAAATAATGTAATGGTCTCCCTCCCTGTTGTATCACACACATCCATGTATGGACCTTACCAGCATGTGCTGTACAGGCAAAGCAGCAGGTTTTCAGTTGTGCAATCTCCTTCACAGCAGGCAAAATTCGCCCAGGGTGAGCATGTGGACACGTACTGCTTGAAACCTGCAGAAGTGTTACGAAAGGGAAGAGTCAGAAAAGAGCACTGAAGTTGCATTTATGGTGCTGAACTCTAATCATCACTTCCACAACAGATCTACTGCTTGTGTTCTTTTCATATTTAATGTTTTCCAAGCATATTGTGTGGAAACAGTCAGCCAGTAAGCTGCCCAACAGCATGGGAAGGAAACTGTCAGCCAGAGATACTGCATAAATCCTATCTTAAAAAAAAAGCACTGTAGTTCAGGTCACTGTTTCTAGAATTCTGAGAGAGTTGTGCAGGATACAGTCTACTCACTAAGAAGAAAACATGTGGCTAAGCTAGTTTACAGAATAAAAACTGAGGCACAGGCTATTATGCTGTGTTGCTTATCCAGCTTACTAAGCAGAACATTCTAAGGTTGTCTTAAAAAAGGCAACACAAAAAACCCCAACAATGTTTCCCGGTGATCTAGAGAAAAAACTCTGGACCTATAAACGTGTGCGGTATTTTCTCCTTTGCAGATAAGACATCAGCCTCAAGAGGGCAGTATAACCCAGTAGCGCACAGCGATCATAAGGACAAAAAGAGTCTCCGGTGCTCTCTAACCTGCCTAGCACAAACTGATGCTCCCTATATTCTTCCAAGTATTCTGCTCAGAGAGATTTTTTGTACAGTCTCTCTTGCTTTGGAGGCAGAAGAATAAGTAAGCACTGCAGTGAATTCCCCAGAAGTGCTCCAGGAATGGTTCTATGTCACTGTAGCTGCCAGTAAAGCAACGCCTGAAGAGCAAGGCACTGGACTAGCATGATTGCAACTTGACTGCAGCCACAGCTTCTCCGGACACCCTGCTGCAGTGTTTCACCAACCGCAGCATCAAAAATTTCTTCCTTGTACCTAATTTAAATCTACCCTCTTCTAGTTTAAAACCATTACCCCTTGTCCTACCACCACATCCACAGAAGGCAGTTAGCACCTGTTTCCCCATTTCAAGTTTAAAGTGTCTAATATATTAAAAGATCCTTGCATGCTGAGGCAGAAGTGATTCAGTTCAGTATTTCTGGCAGATAAGCATTTGTCCACCTCTAGGCTTCCCTTAAAAGTATGTGTACATCATGGAACACGTCATTTTCAATGCAAAACTCATTCTTAAGTACCAACTATTCAGGGGACTTTTTTTCCAATTAATACTTTATATCAAAATTGAGTTGCTGTAGCATGTCTTTCCATTTGATCTGCAAACCAAATTAAAAAAAAAAAAAAAAGAACCAAAATTTCAATAAAACTCTTTCAAGAACAGTAAGTTGCATGATTATCAGAATTAGCTGGCACACAGATACTTGGGTTGGCATCAGTGAAATCCATTAGTATAAATCACTGAAAATTTCCTAAAATTCTTTTTGCCTATATTAACATGAGTTAAAAAAAAAAAAAAAAGCAATCTCAGCTCTCACTGTGATTATACTGCTCAGGAAGTGCTCCTGTGGTACGTTTTGCCCTGGTACAGAAAAATAAAATAACCTATGTTACTTCTACGACATCTGCTGTAGGATTTTTCCAAAACAACTATTTGAAAAAATAAGCTAGATCTATACCCTCTGACACAGTACAGATCATTTCAAAACTGGCATTCTCATTATCTTATTTCTGTGCAATGACATCGAGGTAAAAAACATCTAACAGAAGCTGGGTAATTACCTGGATATTCACTACAACTGGTCATCCTAACCCAAAACCTACATACAACGAGTGCCAAGAAGGAGACCTAGCCAAGATGCAAGGAATTATTTAACAACAACAAAAAAAAAAAACCACCCAAACCAAAAGCCAAAGTAAAGGCACGTTTTTTTCTTTGCCAACCCATTTCACTTGGGAAATAACGTTTCCAATGAAGTCAAGAGCTTCACCAAACTCATCTTTCTCCTCAGATTTCAGCAAGCAAAAGGAATGGATTCTCTCAGGGCTGAAAAGCAAGACAACCCCTAAACCAATATTCCTTTATGTACTCAGTAACAGTATGACAAAGAACTCTTATGTGTCCTGGAGCCATCCACAAAGTTACACAAATATTTGATTATGTCCTTAAATATTATTTGGATGGGAGGGCAGCAGGGGAGGAAGAAAGGGAAGAGTGCACTTCTGTGTTTAGCCCCAAGTCACTTACCCAGACTTCCCCAACCAGAAGCTATTTTGGGATCTGTCACCATTCCAGTACTATTAAAGTACCCCCAATTAAGATTTTTTTTCAGGTGGCAGCTGAATATTCTTATTTCTTTGTGGCTTGTTCTTACTTATAATTTGAGATAACGAATGAAACATATATTAAAAAAAAAAAAATCACATTAGGAAAAGGCAAATGCAGCTACCATGGGACTCACCTTCAGCTGTAATCAACCTCCTTAAATTGAAGGAGATGCAGTATTACTTTTGTTTTCCAAAACCCTTAAGAAAAGTTGTATTCTTCCACTAATTTGAGATGATTATTCAATTGTGAAATTGAAATAAGGTGACTAATTAAGCTACAATCAACCCAGTTCCTATAAAAAAAACAATTGATAGTATCCACACTAAAGAAATAACAATCAAGAGTCCCTCAAAATAAGCAGCTAGTATCTTATAATGACTTTAAGTGTTAAATTCTTTATAGATTAGGGAAGTGGAAAATATCTAGTCACTTCAATTGCAATAGTTCCCCAATCTAAAGAATGATCTAATGCTTTTTTTTCTCCCCCCTCCCCCCGCTCCCCATGGTACATCACTGGACTGGGCTTTACAAAGCCAGCAAACTCCTAAAGTAAGAAACAGACTCAAACCATTTCATCCTCTTAATTTTTTTTTTTTCAGAATCATTAAGATCCCACAAATATTTCAGCACATCTATTCATAGACATACTCACCACCCTTTTTTTTTTTTTTTGGTTCATCCACAAATGCAGACTTTAGAAATGCTTCTCCAGTGACCGTGCTTCAACAAGTCACAGAGCGTCCTTCAGAACAACTGGACAGCTGCAGGTTCATTCACCTGCTTGTGTCCTCTGCCTGTCTGAATACAGTTGTACTTGTCACCCTTCTTCAAGTTTTGCAATGACACAGATGCTTCTCGAGGTGCAACTGAGGTTACAAGGCTTCTTCTCCACTGCGAGCTATCAGCCTGAGCTTCACTTGGTAGAGATAACTCCTGTCTGTCTATCCCCATGCTGACTTTAGGGAGTGCCTTAAGGCATGTCACTGTAGATCACTGAGGCTTTGTTTTCCTCTTCCTGTGATCTCCAGTCCGTTGTTCTTTCAAGTCATACTTATCTTCTGTTCTTTGCACAATATTTACCCCATCACACTCAGGTTTATTTTCAAGCTAGATAATAAATGAGAAAGTATATTTGTTAGTAACATGCTTAAGCAGTTATGAACAACTAAACAGACAGTATGTGAGTTAGGGGAGAAGAACAACCCAAAGGATGAGAGCTTTCCCCCCCTCCCAAGAAAGGAAAAGATGTTATACTGCTTCTAGCCAGTATAACTGGAAATGGAGTAGTCTGATTCCCTACAGTTTTGCTCTCATCACACTTATGCTTACAATAAAACACATCGTTATTTGTCTGCTTGAATGGAAGTATTAAATGAACATCAGACACCAAACAATACTAAATGAGGTTCAGAGAACATTATCGAGTTATATAGATTAAGAGGGTAAATGGTTAAAGAGAAAACAACTCGTTTTGGCCAACACAAAACACAAACTCAATGAACGTTATG